AACACCCAATGAGGAATGCACTCATTAACAATGACTTATGAAACACTTTACAACAAGTGTTATTGTGACTACAGTTAAGAATACAAGTTCTACAATAGACACTGCAAACAGAAATAATTTTTTTTTTTAATATTATTATAGATTAAGTGCTCCAGTTCATGAATATTAAAAAAATATATATATTTTATTAAATTTTTATAAAAATTAATATGGGCTCCACTTTGCTATGGAAGCCAAAACAAATATGCTCATATGATTTATTAAAATGTAAGAAAATGTTTTCACATTCTTGAAATTTGTAATCTGGAGTTCTTATATTACTATCAATTACAAACTCCAGATTATGAATTTCAATCTTTTTTTTTACATTAAGAAACACATATGAGCATATTTATTTTCATAGAGGGGTCAATTTACATAGCAAACTGGGCCCTTCCCCACTTCATAAATTTCATTTTTATAGATATTTGTAATTCTGGAATGCTTAATCTATAGTGATATGAAGAAAAAAAAAAAGAAAAGATTTTCTTTTTTTTCCGGTGATCACAGTGACTACTGTACAATCCCAACCAAATAGTTACACACAACTCAATGGTAGTGAAGGGTATGGAATGAGAAAGCTCTCGGATCTGTGTTAGTGACTCTCATGATTAGAGAGTCACCAAAGTGAGGGATCATTGTTTTCTTAAACTGTCATACTTACAAACAGATAGCAATATGAACAACTTTTTATTTTTAACCAGGAATACATATTTTTTTCTTTATGGAATCAGTATCTTCCCATGTTTTATGACATATAAAATGCTCTCTTCACAAATCTTAGAATTTAATAAATTTATAATAAACGCACAAAAAGAAAAGATTTTGAACCGAGACAAATAGGAAACATTGAGTAATATTTAATGTATCACTCAACAATTCTTTTATTTCCTGTTGAAATGTGTGTGCGTGTGGTGATGATGAAAGCCTTATATATTCACAATTTTTTTTTTTTATTGTTAACCTTTGTAATCAGGTTTTGATTATGAATATCATGTCATAAATAATTTTTCTTTTCACAATGGAATGAATCAATATTAGTTTCAAATTTTGGATCCTTATCTTTCTAAGAAGATAAGAAAATACTGTGAGATATTTATTCCATCACGAGGCACAGACAAAGGAGAATTTTTTTACAACATATTTATTTCCTAATTTAAAAACAGTATAATTCTAGTTGAACAGTTTAAGTATCCGTATTCATTTTTTTTTTTCATTATTTCATCAGTTCCTAATGCCCTGGTAGATATCTTTAGCAATTTGAGAAGGTAACCATTCCCTTAAGGAGATGCGGTAAACTCAAAAACATATTTTGGGGAAAATAGACTATGTTACAAAAATTAAATTGCTTTTCATGACAAAATAATTTGTTATACAAGACTAAAGTATTTAATAAAAAATATATTAGAGTTATTTCCCTTCTAAGTAGACTGAATTATCTCCCTTATATCAAATTCCTAAAATGTTATAACAACAATAATAATCAACAACAAACAATATCGTGATTAAATATACTTTAATGTTTAAAAAATTATTCAGTATTATTATTGTTTAGATAATAAGCATTATAACAAAGCAAAATAGCTATATTGTGGAAAAAGGAACTTTCGACAATATACACATTTTTTACATATTTTTGGTTATTTCTTAACTTTTATCAAAAATGACATAATAGCTTTTTGCTGATGTATTAAAATTTTGGAATAATGCAATAATACAAATTTAAATTTCATCTCTCTGATAGATGTTGCAATCTGTGAATTTCATTTTGGCTTACATAAAAACCTTTCCTAAATCGTTTACATGTGTACCTGCTGAGGTTTTATGGAGAAAAAAAGATCCTATCATTGTTCATATCAACATTTTAACAGATTAAACTATTTACTCTGTAAATCTTTGTCTGGCACAAAGCACAACACAGAGATAGCAGATTAAAAGTCAGCTTTATAATCAATAACTCACAAGTAGCAAGAATATCTTGGTATATATTAACTCAGTTTATCTTAGTTTGACACAAGGTGACATCAGTGAGGCAAAAATTAAGCAAAGTTGCAAGCTAGAAAAGTTGTTGACCATCAAGTTCTCCTGTATTTTCAGTAATAAGACATTACTGATAGAAAGTCAATCTAGTTTTTCTATTTTTTCAAAATGCCAAATCCCTTCACATCAAAGTGGTCATGGCCCTCCACAGACAATTTTCCGTCATTATCAGCGAATTGCCAAAACTTGTTGGGAAAGATAGTAAAAAGTTTTCTTGTTGTCTTCTCCAGAGTTTTGAATTCAAAATAGTTCTCCTTCTTAACTGACTGCCATCCAAGTCTAGAGATCAGAGTCTATGCTATTATTTAACCTATAGCTAAGTAGAGATACCCATGCCTTTCCTAAAGGCATTAGTGTGAAAGTGAATGCAACAGAATAGGACAAAATTTGATGTATGTTTGTCAATTCCACTTTCTGTGCCAATAATTGTGACATTGATCAACCTCATGCCGCTTCTATCTGCCATGTCTCTTCAGGATATTGGCGATCATGGGTCTACACAATTTCCTGTCCTTTGTAGCTCTTAATAAATTTTGTCTTTTTGTTATCGCTCCTATACCCTGTTTTGCCATCTATTTATTCAAGGTTGCTAGGTAAGTTATTCATTGTTTTCCTCTGTCCATCTTGCCTTCAATCTATTCTGTGAGTATCAAATTTTCCAAGCCCTCTTTCCTCATTATGTGCCTTAGAAATTCTCTCTTTCTGATGTCGAGTATCTATAAGTATCTTTTCTTGTTTCCATTTTCTCAAACTTTATTGTTGCTCACATATCAGTCCATGGTATTCTCAGCATCCTTCTGTAGAACCACATTTCTGTTGTTTCAAGTCTTTTTTTTTTTTCCACCTGTGGAGATTGTGTTGCTTTACTACCATATAGGCAGACTGATACGATGTAACAGTTCAGTACTCTCTTCTTTGTTTCCAATTAAATTTTCCTGTTTCTTAATACTTTTCTTAGCTTTTGGAAGACATCTTTTGTTATTTTTGCCCAATGCACTGTCTGATTTCAATGCTGCACTAACAGATCAAATTAACTTGCAAACGTTTAGTTAAAAATAGAAACAAATTGAGGAGAAGCAGACAAGTTAAAATGAACCAATCAGATTGCAAATCAAGTTTATATGCTCAGGTGATTAGTCAGATGTCTAGGTTTCTAGCATATTTAGTAAAAGATGAAATATTAATGATTGCCTGAATTTTTGGGATTGAGGAGTTATTATTTACACTAGTGTTTCTCAAACTTTTCTTCCTTGTGGTCTATTTCTGGTATTAAAAAAATTTCAGGCCCACATAAGCACAAATAGAAATTCCATGTAATGGGAAATATATTTTATTTACAAAAGCAAAATGCAATACAAGATATAAGTCCTGACTAATGACAACACAGCTCTTGGTGCCTCCAGGCCCATTTAAAATATTTCTAAGAGCTGACATTGAGAATCACTTAATTACACTATTTACATGCAGACTATTATCATCATTTTTGTTATTGTTATCACAACTATAGCATTGGTTTGTAAATTTGGTGACACAGTAATTATGAGTTCAATCCCTAGGATTGGCAGTGTGTATTCAAACTCAGTGGAAGCAGGTTAGCAATAACCAAACAGTACCAAGAATAAGAATTAGACGAGAAAAGAAATGAAAAGTAGAAAATGAAGCAACATTTTTGTTTGATGAGATATCTCCAGACTTGGGCAATGGTTTAGTTTGGTTTAATTTCTTTTAAGGCATATCAACATCAATGGGTCATTTAATGTCGACAATGTTTTTTTCCTGGTAATATGTTGTTTTGTCAAAAATCTATTTCTGGTAATATTTTTTTTTTACAAAGTATTTCTGGTATTAAAACCTATTTTTAGTTTCATAATGCTTTTTACCTCGGTTTCAGTGTTAACAATTTGCCCATAGCTGGGACCCTAACAGGTGCTACCACCTTGGGTCAGAATGGACCTGGGAACACCAGCAATTAAGAGGTGGTTCCAGGCTCCTCAAAGCCTTCTGATCAGAGGCCTTGCTGTTGGACGTAGTTTATTGTCTTACCCTGGATCCAGATGCAGTGTATCGTCATACCCAGGATGAACTTGGGCAATGGAATAAGAACAGTCTAACCCTGTAGATTAAATAAAGGGTTCAGTTTGGCATTCCCTGTAGGTTACATGGATCGATATGCACTTGATGAAGACCAGAAGACACAACGGCCAAAATGTTGTGATAACAACAACAAAGATGAGGGGAAATAGTAAATGTAAGTAGCATAAATAGATATAAATATGTATATAAAAAAATTCATTACAAAAGTCAATGTGATGTAATTTTAGATTTTCTTTTTTCTTCATTGTTTTACTATTTTGAGAATATTTAATCTGGAAATGTATAATTCTATTTCATTATTCAATGTTTCTATTTGTAGGTCTGAGTAAAAACAAAACGAAAGTTTCAATTTAAGTTAGAATTAAAATACAATGTTATTGAAGAACTTGTCAGACATGCACACAGAGAGACATTTCAAAGGTAAATAAAAATATCAAAAAGAAAAATATATCTATATTGTACTTACCCCATTATTTGATTTCATTGGCTGAGATTTTTTTTGTCTTTTAAATTTAACATTTCATATTTAAACTTTATTTTTTTTTGTTTTCATTCGGGTATTGCTCTTTTTTATTTATTGCAAATGATAAAAAAAAAAAACGACAAGAAGAAATTGAAGCAAAATTTTTTAAAATTAAAAAGTTTGGCGGAATGTTTTTTTTTTTTTATGTATGTGCATGTACTGCAATTTTTATGTATGTGTGCGTGCTGCAATTTTTTTCTTTTCTTCTTTTCCTGATGCAATTTGGTAGATGTCTCAAGTGAAGGTATCAAGAGGAAAAATTAGGGTTTAATCAGAAGGGAGTGTTTTGTGACAGTGGAAAGGATTAATGAAGACAGTAAGTGGGGGGTTTAAAGTGGCCAATGAGTTTGCTTAAGACAGGATGAAGAGCTTTGATGGACAAGTGGAGGCGGAGTTTTGGAAAGAGAGAAAAGAGATAGGGAAGGTGCTTAGTTGGAGGAGGAGAAGGATTAGGGGAGGAGCTTAATCTGAAATGGAGGAGGAGGACTTGGATGTAGTTGCTAGCCATCAAAAAAAGGGCAAACTGGTGCTGCAGAGAAGACAACCTCTGCTCGGCTGTTCAGAAAAAAGACGATTCCCATAGCCAGGCACAGGATGAGAACACCGACAAACAGAGTTACTGCCTGGAAGTAAAATGAGCCAGCAAAAGTCTGCATGAGAATTCTTATTTTTTTTTTTTTTGTGTTTCTTAATTTATCATAAGATAAAAAAAAAGTAAATAAAACGAAAAAGAAACATAAGAAAAAGAAACATAAGACAAGAAAAAACAAAGTGACAGCTGACACCACCCTTACCTGAGTTGCAAAAGTAAAAACATCAAAGAAATAAAAAAAAAAAAAAAAAAAAAAAAAAAAAGAAAGATAAGGAAGGTTACTCATTAATCTATTCAGACTAATATCTTCATCTCTGATTATCTTATTGACTATTTTAGCATTTTGAACATTTGAAATTGAATACTACAAATGTAGTTTCTTTCTATTTTGACAATAGCAACTTGTACCTTTTCAGATAATTCCTTCAAATTTTGAAAATTAATAAAAATAAAATGTTTATTTTTTTAATCCCTTTTTTTTTATCTCATTTTTTTTCAGATGATTTTCCTTGAATTTCAAAGAAATGGAACAGAATTTTAAGTGATGGAATTCAAAGTGCAAACCAATTACACTACAGAGGAATTTTTTGTCTTATTTTTAAGATGAGGAATTGTCAGTATACTTTGATTCTTTTGAACTAGTATTCTCATCTTGGTTATTAGAGATACAACGTTTCGGCCAAATCTTCTCTGGCTATCTACAGGTGTCCATTGTTTGGTTGATCTTGGATATCTGTTGGGTTATTTTGTCTCTATGATGTCAATTATTGTTCCTGTTGAACAAGGATATATTCTTTCACAACTTTATTGAATTCAATTATTAAAAGTGGTATGTATCTGCCATGATAACTAAATGTCAAAACCTTCTGATATTGAATATAAAGGATCCAAAAATACACCATTGATGTCTTTTCGAACAGTGATATAGTGAATGGGTTGCTGTCATAAGATCAAACCCTGAATCAGGTAGTGAAACAATATACACTGGTTCAGCAGGAGCAAGCAAAACCTGCCATCACAAGAACAAAATACAACAATAATTAACAGATATATCCTTTATCAACCATCACCTGAAGATGGCCAGATGGTATTTGACTGAAATGCTGCATCTATAAAATTGACCACAATGAGATTCAAACCAGTTTCATGGTTGGAGTGCTAATGTTCTAATCATTCAGTTACATAACAATTAAAACCTCTTTAATAACCTCTTAACCATGAAAGTTATAAAACAAGATAAAACTTTTCCTGTCTTAATGCTAAATCTGATAAGATCAGATTGGCAGCTGATATAAAAAATGAGCTTAAATCTGTTGTTAACTGGTGCAAGAAATGGCATGTTAATTTTAATGCTTCCAAAATGATTTTTCAATAATCTTAGAGAACCTTTGTTGACCTCTATTAGTATGGCTGATATTAAGCACCAAGAGTGTGACTCATTGCACCTCCTCAGGTTAATGTTTTTCACTGACACAAAGTGGAACAAATATATTGAATCAATCTTCTGCTAGGAAAATTGGTTCACTGTCTCATTCTAGACAATTTTTCTTGCCAGAATCTATATTACACCTTTAGAAGTTTATCATTTTTCCATGTACTGAATATTGCTGCCACATCTGACCTAGTACTTCTATGTATGTAGAAATCCATGACAAAATCCAAAGAAGAATCTGCAATATCATAAATCTTAACCTGGCATCTTGGCTTCAGTCACTTTTCCACCACCATAAACGTAGATTCTCTGTGCCTTTCCTATAAATATTTTCATGGTAATTGTTCTGATGAGCTTCCTTCTTTATTATCTCAACTTTACAAATTTAAGTGCAGTACTAGATTGGCAGCTAGGTCTCATCATTTTACAATTGAAATGGTTAGATATAACTAAGTTCTATGCTAACGGTTTCTCCTCTTGCAAGTTTGATCTTCAAAAATTTAAATAATAAGTCAATTATTATCTTCTGTCTTCTTAAATCCTGTTCTTTTATTGTCCTCTCTGCTTAATGTCTTTTCTCAGACTATTTCACTCTCAGTAATTCCTTGTGCTGTAATAGTTTTATTGCCTTGCTTTAGTAAAACGATTACAAAAAAAAAAAAAACTATGCAAATATTTATGAATTTCATAAATGAAATATTCAGCCTGAATCTATAAAAGTAAAGCCAACAAACCAGAGATCAGTTGGTGATTAAAAGGATCTGATTCCCATTTTGTGTTTGAAATTTAAAAGAAGGAAAATTTCAAAATTTATTCAGATAAATTAAAAATTGAGGATAAACTTATTAAACATTTACAAAGGTTACATGAAAAAAGCTAAGTTAAAAATGAATATATCAGTTTGAATAAATCAATGAGTAACATTACATCTTATAAATAATGAAAGATAATCAGAAAGTTTCCCCCAGGATTCCTTTAAAACGAACCCTGCTCCACCCTTGGATAGATTTTTATATTAAAACCTGATAAGACTAACTAAACTGCAAACACAGTCAATTGTTCTTCATGAGCAAGAAGCCTTAATAAGAGAGAAATGACATACTATGTTCAAACTCTTGAAGCAGTCATCTATTATAAAGATATTTGGTGGTCTAAAATCTGCAATTACTAAGGACAATTTTAATCATTTGCTTTTAGCCAAGTCTGTGATGTTGGACACCTGTATATTGACTGACACCCATTCTGTGTATGATATCACTATGATACTCTTGATCCATTTTGGATGGTCAGGTTGATTTCAAATGGATACCAGTAATCCCATTTTTAAAATTGTTCTTTGCAGATTTTCTATCACCTCTCTCAAAAGTTCAAGCATTTTACGTAATCTCCAACCCAGTAAGTCTTCTGCAGGCAAAGAACTATTCAGTGCATTTTATTCTAGTTCATTCTAACAAAACCAAAGCTCAAAATATCAACAAGTGAAATTAGTACCTGGTGAATGTAAATAAAAACTGTTTAAGATACTATTAGAATTGATATTTTTTTCTTTTAGTGTCCATGCCATATCTCAAGCTAAAGAGCCCTTCTCTCAAACACACAAAGGAAATATAAAATAGTTAAGCTTGAACCAGACAGACAAATAAACATGGGTCAAACAACAGCATCTGCTTAACAGGTCAATGGTTATCTCCAGAACAGGAAGTCTGATTTTATTCAATGCCAAAGAATGTTCAAAACCGAGAGGAGTGAGAAAAAAAAAAAAAAAAAGTTTCATGACAAGGAGCTTACTGAACTTGTCTGGGTCAAATCCAAATGATGAAACAAGGAAAATATTCAAGAAGCATTCTTTGAGAGATTTGCTTCAAGTGTGCAAAGCAGCTTAGATATCCCATAATGAAAGGGAGATCTGATAAATTCAAAACCCAAAGCTTTAAAAATCTGACGGATAAGTTCAGCCAGTGTTAATTTGTATAATATTCTTGAATCTAGGCTCTTGCTTTTGTCCTATTTCTGTAGAAATTAAAATAAACTTTACTTTTAAGGAAGTGTGTGTGTGTGTGTTAGAGAGTTAATAATGTACCATAAGTAAATTACCCAGCAGGAAAATATATACCAAAATCCTATTCCCAGAGAAGTGCAACTTTTCTGCAGTTGTACAACAGTGACAAGAAAAGAATTCCTTAATCTCTGGCAAGCATAGCTATGCCAGTGCACATTAACAACTAAAAAATACTGCAATTATCGTTTAGAAGAATTGGCAGGCTTTTTTAAATTTTAATAATAAGAGTGTATGGAATCTATTGAGATGAAAATTTTATTAAATGCTACTAAGAATTTAATAAAATCTGATAGTATATTAATTCTTCAACCATTTCTTTTCCGATGCTCACAAGGTGATACCTAGTTTCATGTGACACAAGGCCAATTGAAAGGTGGAGAATGTTTGCCATGAAAAATCTTTATTTCTAACTGAGCTAGAAAACTGGCTGCTGTTGAGTGTGAAATCTACAAGTATCTTGGCCACAAGGTATGTCCAAGTACTGAGGTACCCAATGAAGATTAAACTCATAACAATAATTGATCTGAAGCAGGTGCTTGTTAATCACTGCACTACAGCAGCCACCTAAATATAGGTTTCTTCTTTTGTCCAAAATTAGAACTTTCCTCTGAAAGCTTTTTTTTTTTTTGAATGAACAAAAAAGTGAAAAAAATTGGAGCATTACCAGAACATTCCCAGACACCTCACCAAAAAAACAAAAAAACAAAAAAAAAAATTGTATGAGATTTTTGATACGAGTGACGAAGCTACATTTATTGCCAAAATTTTGTTTATTACCTTAATTTTGAAGGAACACATAGGGTTAGGTCAGGTTTTCAAAAAGTTTTGATTACCAACATAGAACTGTATGACAGTAAAATGCGTGAGGCTAAGCAATCAGGCATACTGTTGTATTTCAAGCCTTCCACATCAGCTCAGCTGATGATGAACCTTGACCTTTTGACATTAAGGCATGCAGACAGAAAAAAATCACTGAGTCTGGGAATGCTCAAACTTTCCCATCTAAATTAATGATAATTGCTTTTTCACTATGCCATTTTAGATGGGAGCGAAAATTATACTAATAACGTTTTTTTAATGAAAGTCAAACGGTGTCAAGCAAACCTTGGAAAAGTGGAAGAATACCTGCATTTATTTTCTAAACTCAGTTTAAATTGGCATAACATTGTGAGATAACCAGAGATCAAAATCACAACACTTTTGAGACTGAATTCTTAACTACCTTTAAGCTAGGCATTCAGAGAAAGGGACATCAGAAAGCTATAAAGAATAGGAAGTTGTGGAGAGCCATGGTCCTGAAGGGACATGGCATATAAAAGAAGAATACATTTACAAAGTTTGTTATGAAAATGTCAATGAAAAATTGGAAATTATAATTTTTAGTAATAAATTTTCACCTTGGTTGATATATAGATGTTATTTTAGAGAGAAGGTTTTGGCCAAGTACTCTCTGATCATCATCAGGTATCCATTGATTTGGCTGATATAGGATAGCAATTGTGTTGTTTGTTCCTATGATAGTTATTGTTATGAAAAAGGC